GGAGCTTGGACATCTTTGGGTTTTGGTATCCACAGCAGGAGCCAATCCCCAGTGGTCAGCAATGGCTTGCTGCAATTTATGTTATTAGCCAAAAATAAGTTGAACAAAAGAAAGGGCCATGACTCAGTGATGGAGCACACACCTATTTGCAGGTTCAATTCCAACATCTCCAGGTAGAGCTATAAAAAAATCCTTCCTAAAACCCTGGAATATTGTTGATAATGCTAATGAGGTGACATTGCCTAAGGGCATATTTACACTGTCAAATTAATGCTGGTTGGCACCACTTTAACTGCCAGAGCTCAAAGCTATGGAATCCTAGGAGTTGTAGTTTGGTGAGGCACCAGCACATTTTGGCAGAGGAGGCTAAATCCTTGAAAAACTACAACCTCTCAGATTCCAAAGCATTGAGACATGGCAGTTAAAGAGAAGTTGAACTACATTAACTTGACCCTTAGACAGCTTCCTATGTAACTAGCCACTACCAATTCTAATGTTAGGCAGAATTCAGCAGTCCCTTTGGATGTAACAAAAAGGCAGCAGATTTTGGTTATTTCGTTTCATTGATGAAAATCTGATTTTTACAGTCAGGCAAAAGAACTTGTGGAACTAGCATTGGGTACTTTGCACTTTGATGTGCAGCAGTCGTTCTAAACCTGTGGGTCTCCAGATGTTTTGGTCTTCAGCTCCCAGAAATCCTAACAGCTGGTAAGCTGGCTGGGATTTCTGGGAATTGTAGGCCAAAACCCCTGGGGACCCACAGATTGAGGACTACTGATGTAGAGAAATTGGTATATTTTCTAACCTCATATCTAGATAGGCACCCCATTTTACCTTCTCCTTTTCTTCTGTTGCAGTGCAAATTCTTTTAAAATGGAAATGCAGTGAGCTCTCCATGGTCCTTGCAAAAAAACAAGTTTCTTTCCAATCCAGTCTGCGATAATGTCCTCTTAACCTAGCAATCCTCTACGTTCTGTAAGATTAGATACTGTTTTATCCGGACAAAATTCCTCAAGCACTGACAGAGATATCCGAAACTGTCCTGATGGGAAGATCTAACACAGAAGTCATAAATGTGCCCAAGCTGCCTGCAAGGCTGGCTTTTGCAAGTGTTTTGGCTTTGTTTGTTAATTGCAGCAGGAGGGGAAATATCTATCTCAGTTTCAAATTGGAGTTTCTTATACCGGGGCACAGAGGAGCTTTGATTCAATGGGTACCCTGTATACAGAATGATCTGTTTTGATAGTTATTGCTGTCAGGAAAACTGCATGCTGTAGTGATTTGTTAGGAACAATCCCAGTTAATTTTTTGTTTCCCCAATTTTTCAGCTGTTTTTAAAATGCTCAAGTTTCTCTCTCTTCCTCCCACTTATCCCTTTCCCCCCAGCTACTTCATTTCTTACAGTCTGTATTCAAATTGGGAACAAAGAGAGGACCAGGCAGAATCCTGCCTAATAAGCTCAGGCAAAAGCAAACTGCTGCAGCATTTCGTACCTGGTCCCCCCCCCCCCCCCCCACCACCACCACTAGTAAGTTTTGTCATCTTGACCGCACTGTGAAGCTGTTTGGCCACAGGCATCCTGGTTTTAATCTGTGAAATGTAGTAGGAAACTGCAGGCAGTAGCTTCACTTTCACAAAGTTTTCCATTGCATATGTATGTAGAGTTTGAGAGTGATGGCAGCTCAGCCTATCATCGGATTTCCTTGAGAAGGATCTTCACAGGACATGGTTCCTTTTCCAGCCAGTGGATCTGAAGATCCATATTACATTTACACTGTAGGATTTATGCAGTTTGACCCCACATTAACTTCCTTAGCTCTGTGCTATGGAAGCAGCAGAATTGTAGTTTGACAAGATCTTATGCGTTCTCTGCCAAAGAGTTTGACCCCACATTAACAGCCCTAGTTCTGTGCTATGGAAGCAGCAGAATTGTAGTTTTACAAGGTCTTAAGCCTTCTTTGCCAAAGAGTTTGACCCCACATTAACAGCCCTAGCTCTGTGCTATGGAAGCAGCAGAATTGTAGTTTTACAAGGTCTTAAGCCTTTTCTGCCAAAGAGTTTGACCCCACATTAACTGCCCTAGCTCTGTGCTATGAAAGCAGCAGAATTGTAGTTTTACAAGGTCTTAAGCCTTCTCTGCCAAAGAGTTTGACCCCACATTGACTGCCCTAGCTCTATGCTATGGATGCAGCAGAATTGTAGTTTTACAAGGTCTTAAGCCTTCTCTGCCAAAGAGTGCTGGTACCTCACCAAACTGCAACTTCCATAGCAGGCATGGGCAAACTTAGGCCCTCCATGTGTTTTGGACTTCAACTCCCATGATTCCTAACAGCCGGTAGGCTGTTAGGAATTGTGAGAGTTGAAGTCCAAAACACCTGGAGGGCCTAAAATTGCCCATGCCTGTCCTATAGCATTGAGGCATGGCAGTTAAAGTGGTGCCAAACTGCATTAATTTCACAGTACACATGCTCCTTGAGGGCTAGGATTTGCTTTGAAAATGTAGTCCTGTGTGTGTGTGTGTGTGTATGTGTGTACACAATACAATGAAGTCAGTGAGGCTTCAGCTGAAGCTTAACCCAGGCATGGACGACAGGGAGGTGAATGAAATGTATATCCCTTTCTCCTCATGCCATTTTTGACTACTTTTACCTGACTAGTTAGCCATGGAAAGGTTTTGACATTATGAGTTTTTTTTAATTGCTGTGCTTCTTTTATGTCTAGTATGTTTGTAATGTATAGCAATATTTCACACACACCCTTTTGAGACCTTAACATTTCATGGATGAGGACGCAAGGGCAAACAGTGAGGTAAAGGGAAAGGAAGAAATACAAATTATCTTCCTTATTTAATATCCCAGAATAGTGATTTTAGTTAATCCTATATAAGAAAAGACTTAAATAAATGCAGAAAAAAGGATTTGACAGAATTATAAGGCTATAAAAAGAGCTCTTTATTTTGAGACAAATTTTATCCTAGATACTTTTTAAGGGGTTTACAAGAAAGGGAAAAATAATTATTAGTATATTATACAAGCACAGCATTTGTTACACAACCAAACAAAGGTCTAACCAATTCAATTTTCTAACATCTGTCTCTAGAAGTCTATAGTGCTGCATTCTAATTTGGAATCATCATTCTCAGTAATAAATTTTATTATGAAGGTAGTATGTAGAATTTTATTATGAATGTAGTATCTTTAGCTTCACATGACATGACTACTTCTGTTTCTTCAAGCTCAGCCCTCCTGCGGATGATGTTTTTTTAATACTGGATATATACACACAAACATACCTGTATGTGTCCCATAACCTTTTCTTTGGAAAATTCATATATATGTATATCACATGAATTTAGATCTTTGAAAAATGTTGCTCAGAACGGTCCTTGGAACAGGAGGAGACCCAAACAAAAGCAAAAACCGACAGTGGCAGGAGTCCACAGAGAAACAAAAAAAGGGGCTAATGCATGACCTCATATGTGAAACCCAAAATATCTAACAGTCCAGGTTATGTTCAAAAGTAATTGAAAATCCTATTTTTATATAATCTTAAAAATATTAAATTTCTTCCTAGATGAATTTTGTTTGGCTCCCTCCAGATGTATTTTTTTAGCTGTGTTCCCAAACCCCTTTGTGCAAATTGGGGAAAAAAGAAATGACGAAATTTTATTGTCAGAATGCATAATTCTCAGTATTTTCTTTTGGAAATCAGTAAATCCTTAGAGGAGTTAATTTGTTTTTTCTTGTTTTTTAAGGCAAGGAATTAATATCCAATACATTCTGTATTTAGCAGAATTTGATCTATCAGAATGAAACAAGGATATAGTACAAAAACTGATAGTATGACTCCCTCCATCCATTTTAACTTCCCCAGCTTCAGGTAAAAATTCAAGTTAGTGTGAGTTTGAAATATAAAAGTCTAGGAAGTGTTTTTAAAAATCTTTCTGCTTAATTATATGTAGCAAAAGCACAAAGAAACAAAAGTAGTCAAAACTTTTGGTTTCAGTTTTAGATGCAAACACTTTCTTCCTTCTTCTTGGCTGCCAATTTTGATATTAGGGAGAACCATGTGCTTTGAAACAATAACTGAAATGCCATTGAAAGGGTAGATGCAAAAGAACATTTTGTTGGGGCAGAGAGGAGCAATTTCAAATAATGAGTTTAACTCTTGGGCTTCTATCCGATTATTGCCTTTGTTAAAAAGGTAAGGTACCAGCTTTTTCTTATAAAATGCTAGCTTTTCAATAACTCTTTTGCTTTCTGCCACATTCTGGATATTATGCATTTATAATCTAAACATTTTATGTGTTTGTTATGTTAAATGCAAGCCCCCCCCCCCCCCGTAAAATAGTGGATGTAAAAGGATGTTGTATATAAAATGTTTGCTTGAGAAAACATTTTATATATACATGTTTTATATATACTGTTCTGTCTTCTAAGGTTACTGTGTGTATATATGAATAACTGCAATTCGATAAATTAAGGAAAAAGCAAGAATAAATTTTCCTGATTTAGAAATGATTGACTGTTTCTAATCAGTAGTGGAAAGGAGGCAGTGAAAAATAATACAGTATCTTCTATTTTCATTATTCCTATGAATATAGGACTTTTTGCAATTGAACAAAAATGTCTTTTTTATTTTCAATGTATCTTGACATGTAAAGCATTTTTGCCTTTAAGAAGGAGGTTGTGGCATGTAAAATTAAGCAAAACATGAAACAGGCTATACTGTTGAAAAGTACAGGCCCCAAGAGTTAATTTAATACATATGGCCCTGATTGAGATCTTGCATTCGTATGTATAATATAACATTTGGCATCAAATTTACTGCAATTTCTTTTCTAAAAATCTCTTCACTATCCTTTCTTATACACTTCTGGAAATAGAGAGATAGATCTATCTTTCAGGTATATCATAACCACCCCTTTGGAAATGTAAGAATTTAACTCAGTTTTAATCGTTTTTAAATTGTATTTGTCTGATCATTTTCTTTCTCTTTAGTTTTCCAGGAAATGCTGGGAGATCCAAATTTCAAGCACTTGTCATGACAGCTAAAAGATACAGGCTACTTTATACAGGTAAAGCACTGGATTATATTACCTAAACATTGTGATGGTCTGAAAAGATAAGTAATTGTAGAGGAATTGTGTAATATGACGTATTTGGTCCTTAGGATAATAAGCTATATATACGTGCAGTAAGCAAACAAAATGGAGTTTGACCTATTTTGACATTGTGAAAACATGGTAACACATTTACATAGATGGTTTCACTGATTGGTCTTAAGACAGCAATTCAGTATCATACCTTGAAAAATTAAGTCAGCTCATGCTAATTGTGTATAAAATAAATTTATTTCAGAATAAAAAACAAAATTCCAGGTAGAAGATATTTTTATGTTGATTGTGTAGTAACTGCAGTTTAAGCAGTATTTTCTAATACATAATGATGTAGTAAACTTTCAAAACAGTATATTTAGAAAAGGAACACTAATATTCACTAGATACATTTGTCATGTAAACCAAATAGAAATGAATGAGAAGCGTGCAAGACCTCTTTGCCATTTTTATTCCATTTTATGAGGTTCATCCTGAATTAACCAATATGACATTTTTAAAGATAGGCTAAAGATTGACTGCAGTATATCAAAGATTGGAGTTTGTTGACTTCGGTGGCAGGGCTATTTCTGATTATTACATTTGTTAATAATGTAGAAAAAGTTGAGATGCTGTGTTAAGGATATACAATATTTTAACCAGATCTGTGCTTTGAATTATTTCAGATTTTATCTAAAAGCCTGAAATAAAGAAATGTTAAAAATTAGTTGTCTGCTAGTTACTTCTATGGCTCACTCACTGTGTATCATATCTTTATTTTACACTGATTTTTTTAAACCTACAAATCATTAAATTTTACTCAATAAAAATTTATTGGTATTATTTAAAGAAAAAACAAAGATTCAAAACAGCTCACAATCTTTAAAACTCCATTCTGCTATGAGGGTTTTTTTAAGAAGCAAAAGGAAAGCTTGTTTACATGTGGTACAATAATTAGGAACTGAAGAAAGCAATACAAAAATATTATGCCATCTTTCTCTATGAACACATTCAATGTTAATTAGGATTTTTATTCCTTTGTCAGGAGACAGAAAGATTTCTGTTTGAAACTCAAAATAGTGCAGTGATAAAATGTTACTCTTGAATATGGCCAAATATGTATGTATCTTTTAAACCAAATTGTAACATATTGTCAAGAAAATTGCCAATATTTTAAAGCGTAACTAGCACTATATGACTCTGAAATACTTGTTTTTATTTATGTGACATTTAGAAATGCCTTACATTCCTGTATCTGGGTTGTGGCCTACTTAAATGACTAGCTGTACCTTTTTGACTTGGTTCATTAATTTGAAAAGTTAGGAGATTAATAAAAATACAATACAATAAAACAATCATAAAAAGACCATATAATTGGTCAGCTTTAAAAGTGGCACATTCATGTAGTGCAACATACATAAGAATGCCATCCTCATATTGAGAGATAGATTGTATTATGATTTAGGAGGTATTTTATAGCCACATAAGAATTATAGGAGCAGGCCTGTTATGCTCCACACTTTGTAAATCTCATGTGGTCATTTGTCTCCTTAAGTATGAGTTAGGTACTTATGACTTATTTGATATATATATTCACATGCACACTCACACACACAGTCAAGCAACCAAACTATGAAAGATTTGTTTTTCCCATGAAAATGTTGATTATGTAATGCCATTCTGTAGGATTGGCTTTTTTGCTGGAAATTGTGAGGTGAAAATAATTAGTTAAAGAAAGACTGTACTGGGCATTAGATATGTGAACTTAGGAGCATTGTTTGGAGTGACTTGGCTTTATGTTGGCTTCAGAGATGAATGGAGAATGTGGCACAAAGGGATAGGTTTCCTTCTGAGCAAAGTATCAGTTGGTTTGGATAAAAAAATTATATTGAAAGTCAGATTTTACAGAGTTGTGTTAGAGTGCTTTATTATAAGTTGCTTTCTTGGATTGCTTTGTTTTCTTGGTATAAAATAAACAATGATTAAGAAAATGACTGGAATTGCATGTTGACGTCTATGTTTTGTCCACTTTTCAGTGTCATAGAATTGCATTTTTCTCTGGAAATGTTTAAGGTGAAAAAAATACAGTAACTAAAGAAGATTGTGTTGAGCATTAGATATGGAAGCTTAGGAGCATTATTTGGAATGGCTTGTCTTACTACTTCATCACACTAGAGGATAAATCCATTTTAAATCTGGTTTTTGCCTCCTGCAGAATTCAGGGGTTTGTAGTTTAGTGAGGCTGTAAAAGGCTCCTTCCTAAACTATAAACCCCAGAATTTTGCAGGAGGCAGCAACTGGATTTAAAGTGGATTCCCTAGTATGATAAGGCCCTTAATATTGGCTTTAGAGATGTGTCACAAAGGAATGCACTTCCTTCTGAATGAGTTATCAACTGGGAAAGATGGTTTAAGATTTTAAAAAATTATACTAAAAGTCAGATTTTACAGAAGTGTGTTGGAGTGGATTATTATAAATTACTTTCTACAAAAGGAAATATCCCTGCTTTTTGTTTGAACTGCTTTGTTTTCTTGATCTAAAATGAATTAGAAATTGGAGAGCAATTGGAATTGCAAGTTGACATCCAGGATGATGTTTTGTCCGCTTTTCTGTGTTGTGCAGAGGCCACATTTATTTTGATATGTTTGCATTGTTTCAAATAAATATAATGCTACATGATGTCAATCTTTTAAGTCTAAAGAATTGCTAACCAAGGCATCATCTACACTGCCATGTAATACTATTTCAAATTGTATTATATGGCAATATAGATGGGGCCCAAGTAAAGTCTTGATGGTGGTAGAAATGAAACTAACAAGAGCTGGGCTTGGATTAATTACTCTGGCTGGGAAAAGAGGTAGCAAGAAACAAACAATTCAAATGCCCGGTTGTCAACATTTTTCTGTAAAATTGCTGAGGAGGTTTACTTGAATATTTTGTGTGATGCTCTGTTTATCTCTGGCTAAATATTCAGCTTATTTTAGATGTATGGTTTATTTTTCTGGATGTTGTTGTGTATGTATGTAGTTTTCTGGCTTTTCAAAGACAGGGTGAATTGTACTTAACTGTTTTGATGAATTTTAGCTGTGATTTTTTTTAATGCTGCTTGTGTTAATTCTATTTTATTATTAGCGTTTTTTATCTATTTTAAATTGTGTATTAGTGCTTTTATGTCAAGCCGCTTTGAGTCCCCTTTGGGGAGTGGCCTGAAGTTAGGGAAATTTTTCAGTAGTACTGTTGTCAGTTATTAAGTTATTGTATATGGTTTAAATAATTGGATATCCGTGTTAGTTGCTTTATGATGTCTATTTGAATGTATTTTTATGTAATTGCTGTTTTTACCACTGTGCGCTGCTTTGAGTCCCACCCAAGGGAGAAAAGCGGCATAAAAATGAAGAAATAATCATTAAATATAATAATAAAAACAGGGTATTATTATTATTATTATTATTATTATTATTATTAATATAGTGTAAGATAACACTCTATAAAAAGATTTGAAAAAAATATGTTTTGGTTTGAAAGTGTTGTTTTCTGTTTAATTGTGTGGTACTTACTTTGAAAGTAGTTGTAATCCAGACACTTTGTTTTTGTGGCCGAGGGTAGTACTATTATTTCCTTCAGTCTAGACCAGGCATGGGCAAACTTCAGCCCTCCAGGTGTTTTGGACTTCAACTCCCACCATTCCTAACAGTCTAAGGCCCTTTCCTTTCCCCCGCAGTTGCTTAAGTGACTGAGGGGGAAAAGAAAGGGGCCTGAGGCTGTTAGGAATGGTGGGAGTTGAAGTCCAAAACACCTGGAGGGCTGAAGTTTGCCCATGCCTGGTCTAAACTTTGTTTGTAATTTTCCTTAGTGAAAATATGCCATTTTAAATCTTTGTGCAGACCGCAAAACCAAAGTTTTTGCAATGTAATAAACCTTTTCCATGTTTTTATGGTAGAACCAATTAGGAAATGACATTTATAACCCAGGAACAAAAACTGTGTTACGTAGTGTAATATATTGATACTGTTTTGAATATTTGAGGGAGAGAAACACACACATACACACACACACACCAGGCATGGGCAAACTTGAGCCCTCCAGGTGTTTTGGACTTCAACTCCCACCATTCCTAACAGCCTCAGGCCCCTTTCTTTTCCCCCTCAGTCACTATTAGGCTATTAGGAATTGTGGGAATTGAAGTCCAGAACACCTAGAGGGCCAAAGTTTGCCCATGCCTGATATAAACACACATATATGTATTCTTAAAAAATTCTTGAGAAACGATATGTTTTTAGAATGGCTTGTTAATCATAAGTTTGTTGCTTTATACAAGTTGAATATCCTTTATCTGGAATTGCGAAATCTAAAAAAATCCACATTTATCCAGATGTGTGGCTGAGATAGTGACACCTTGGCTTTCTGACAGTTCAATGTACACAAACTGGTTATTTTCAAAGATATTGAATTTTTTGTTAAAAGTTAACATAAATATTGTCTATAAAATTACCTTCAGGCCATGTGGATGAAGTGTCTATGAAACACAAATTAAATTTTGTATTTGGATTTCAGTCCCATCTCCCAGATGTTGTCCCATTATTATGTATATGCAAATGTTCCATATACATAATATATTGGGAGAAAATCAAAATAGATAAAACTTTTGGTTCAAGCCTTTTGATTCAGGGATACTCATCCAGTAATTTCACGAGATGTAAGGAAAGTATAAAAATAAATACTACCTGGGTTCGCAATCGCATCTCCTTCTATGAACCAGCATGAAATTTAAGATCTTCCGGGGAGGCCCTCCTTTCGCTCCTACCACCATCAAAGTATAGTTGGTGGGGACGAGAGAAAGGGCCTTCCTAGGGAAATAAGACAGGTCCCATCCCTCCCCTACTTTCGTAAGAGCTTGAAGACCTGGTGGTTTCAACAAGTCTTTGAGAATGATTAGTTCTAGCTCAGCCCCAGACATTGTTGAATATGGCCTTATTTTTCCTACCAATTACCCAGGTCACTCCCTGGAAATGAACAGCCATAGACCGTACTTGTTATTGTTGTTGCCTGCTATAGCACTGCACTTAATTTCCCGTGCCCCCTAGAAATTTTGAGCTTGCACTAGCCTTGGCCCGGCCTTCTAAATTGCCTTGAATAGGCAGGATTACTTTTAATATATGTGTGTTACTGCTTATATTGATTTGCCAATTTTATGTTTATGCTGTTTTTTCTGTATGTATTGATGATGTTACTTGGAAACTGCTCTGAGTCCCCTTGGGGAGATAGAGTGCTATACAAATAAAAATTTGTTGTTGTTGTTGTTGCTGTTGCTGTGAGTTTTCCAGGCTGTATGGCCATGTTTCAGAAGCATTCTCTCCTGATGTTTCACTTGCATCTATGGCAGGCATCCTCAGAGGTTGTGAGGTCTGTTGGAAACTAGAAAAATTGGGTTTATGTATCTGTGGAATGTTCAGGGTGGGAGAAAGAACATTTGTCTGTTTGAGGCAAGTGTGAATGTTGCAATTGGCCACCTTGATTAGCACTGAATAGCCTTGCAGCTTCAAAGCCTGGCTGCTTCCTCTAAAACCAAGACTGTAAATACATTCAACAGATAGTTTCTAACAGATCTCACAGCTTCTGAGGATGCCTGCCATAGATGCAGTCAAAACGTCAGGAGAGAATGCTTCAGGAACATGGCCATACAGCCTGGAAAAAAATACAGCAACCCAGTGATTCTGGCCTTCGACAATACTTATACTATCTGGGAAAGTTTGAGATATCTGGAAAAGTTTGAGAATGTTTCACTTGGCCACCATGAGTGGCAATTAATGGCCTTGCAGCTTCAAAGCCTGGCTGCTTCCTGCTTTTTCAGAGGGGCAATAACAAAATAACAAAATGGATAGGAATATTTTTTTAAATGAGAGGACTGAAACCAGAGAGGATTGGACCACTGAACTTGTACTTTGCAGTAAACACGTTGTAGCATTGTCATTGTTTTGCATCTCTTGTAAAATCGTCGTGTTTCGCATCACTTGTAAAATATTCTTAGGCTAAAACTGCCTTGGGTGTTATTTAGAAGCTGTTTCTGGCCTAAGGACAGCTTTCGTTTGGCTGGTTGTCTTGAAAGAGCCTGAAATAGCTGGCGTTGTGCTTTTGCGGCACAAAACTGGCTGCAGGCACCCAAGGGGTTAAGCGTGGGTTCGGGCGGGTGCATTGTGGGAGTCGTAGGCGGTAAGGATGCCGGCAGGGGACAGAAAACTCGGCCGGTTCTTCCTGTCATGGCCGTTGGCTGGGAGGGAACTCTCCGGGTAATTCGGTCCCTTCTGCTGAATACCTGCCGAAAGATCACGAGTGCCTTGGGATGAGCTGCGATTGATTAACTGCCAAGGAATCTCTAAAGAAGGCCATGGCTTGTCAGTCACTGCCAATGCTTTGGGGGGGGAGGGGACTTCAGTTCCCAGGATTCCTGGCGATTGGCTCAGCTGGCTGGGGCTTCTGGGAGTTGAAGTCTGAAAGTCCTGGAGGGTTCCTGGGCTCTGCTTCAGGGCCTGCTCTTCGGAGAACTCCCTTTCCCATGCTGGTTGTAACTTACAGTAATAGATGGCAGGCTCTTTCTTTACAGGCTGAGTGCCCCATGTCTGAAAGGCTTGGGACCAGAAGTCTTTGGGAGTTCAGATTCTTTCAGGTTCTGTAATATTTGAGTGTACATCATGAGATACTGTATTTTGGGGATAGGAACCAAATCTAAGCACAACATTCACTTTTGTTTCATAAGCTGGCAGTCCCTACACTACAAACAAGGCCCCTTCCAGACAGGGTCTATATCCCAGGATCTGATCCCAGGTGAGCTCCCTCGATCAGCTCCAGCTCCTCATGCGGGGACATGAGAGAAGTCTCACAAGGATAGTAACACATCAAAACATCGGGGTGTCCCCTGGGCGATGTCCTTGCAGACGGCCAATTCTCTCACGCTAGAAGCAACTTGCAGTTTCTCAAGTCACTCCTGACACGACAAAAAAAAAAAATCTCAGGTCTTCTGTTTATCCAAGACTATCTGGCAGTGTGGACTCATATAATCCAGTTTAAAGCAGAAAACCTGGGATCAGATCCTGGGATATAGGGCCTATCTGGAAGGGCCCCAAGAGATGTTCTGTAGATTTGTTCTTACGTAGATTTGTTTTTACATTGTTTGTTAGTGAGAACATCATCCCTTTTCTATACTGATATATATATAAATGCATATGTATATTTATTCTTGTACATGGTCCCTTGTTGCCCTTCTCTCTAACCTAGAACAGAATAATCTATATAAATAAAAATGTAATGTTTGTTTGTGGGATTAACATAACTCAAAAGCCACTGGACGAATTTACACCTATCAGCGCAACGAGTGACCACCGCTCATAACACAATAGAAGACACTTAAAACGCCAAAATAAAATTACATTACAGCATATACAGTAAAATACACCAATGTGATGATGTATTTTACTGTATTTTATGTTTTAATATATAATGATGATGCACTGTACTATTTTATATTACTGTATATGAATACATGTAAACCGGCCTGAGTCCCTCTTCCGAGGTTGAGAAGACAGGTATATAAAACCTCTAAATAAATAAATAAATAAATAAATAAAATGTGGAAAACCACATATATATATATATGCAAACACACATATATAATATGCATGTGTATATATACACATATACACACACAAAGCATACATAGACTGGGCCACAGCAACGCGAGGCAGGGGACGGCTAGTCTTAAAGAAAAATCAGAAATGAACCTATAGATCATAGATGATTTGGCATCTGGGTCTTAAAGAAGCAGGCCCTTTCATTTTAGATATATTTGCTTCTTTCTGTTGTATTTTAAGGTCAGGATCTAAAGGGAGCTTTTCCCATATGTCACAGAGCCCTTCCACACAGCACTATATCCCAGAATATCAAGGCAGAAAATCCCACATTAACGAAGTGTGGCCTCACATAACCCAGTTCAAAGCAGATATTGTGGGATTTTCTGCCTTGATATTCGGGGATATAGGGCTGTGTGGAAGGGCCCATGGTCAGCTTAAAATAGAAATAGCCGATTTAATCTATAGATCTAGTTTTTCATACCGTTGAATTCTATTGGAAATCAATCATCCATCTCAGAAAGCTAGAGCTACAGTACTTTCAAATGCAAATAAATAAATCTCCAGTAAAGAAATCCGATTGCAGTGCATTCTTTGGAACATCACTGGTTTTAGTTTCTATGTTTAAAAATTCTGGAAGAAGAACATGAATTGAATCCAGACAAATTAATCATGCTTTAGTCCCATGAGGTAATCTGATGAATTTGGGAAAATCTGATGATACTGGCGATTTTAATTTTAAACATTTTGGTTCTTTGTTTTCATTCAGAACAGAAACCAATGTTTCACTGCTCTAGATAAGAGAATCCTACCTATTTTTAAAAATCTCTTCATAATATCGATGGTCCCAATAGCCAGCTATTTAATAATATCAGAAAAAGAAATAACAGTTACTTAACTGTTATATAGCAGGATGAAAAAAATAATGGATTGATACCAATCTCATCAGACCATAGTGGGTTTGTATATATTTGGTTTGTGGAGAGAAAAGCAGAGTATAAATAAACAACAATAACAACAACCATGATTGATTGGAAGGAAAATAGTTACTTGCACTACACTGCAAAAAAACTATGAAAGGTTTTGCAGTGTAGTGTAGGTCTCATGATTTGTGTGAAAATAATATTGTGTGTCTAATTTCATTTATTGCACTGGGATTTCAATTCAATTGCTATGGCAACATCCTGTGGACTCCTGTGATTTATAGTTCGAGCCCTCTGGCTCAGAATTTTAAACAAACTTCCCTAAATTGCAAACTCCAGGGTTCCATAGGATACTGCTAGGTAGTTAAAATGGAATCATGGTGCTATAGTTGTGTAATTTTGAAGAGCTCATGTGGGTGGAATAATGAAAGAAACAATTTTGTCAACTCCATCTCATTGAAGATTTGTGGTGAAGTATAGGGATGGAGAAATCAGGGGGTGGGGATCCCACCAATAATCCCATTCTCAGTGGAGCTCTGATCTGAAATTGCTATACTAGCAGCAGAAAAATCTAGATCCAACCTAACAGAGTTGAAACAAGCTTTTCATTGTATATTTCCTTCATGATTATCAAATGTGTTTTCTTCTACGTTTTTGAAATCTATATATATATTTTCTCTACATAGTTTTAAGCTTACTGCTTCTGTCCTTCTTTGTACAGATACCAGTCACAGTTGAGAACAATGGACCTGAAGAAATAATGTGTAAGTCACTTGTATTATCAGCATGCCCAGTCTCCTTGCACTTGTTGACCCAAACCCATTAGCTATTCTATTATTTATTTATTTATTTATTTACAACATTTATATGCCGCCCTTCTCACCCCGAAGGGGACTCAGAGCGGCTTACAAGTCATAAGTACATACAACATACTACATAATACATAACTAGCATAGTACTATTACATCATTCATAACACTAGTACTACATAATATTACATTATTGCTAGGGGAGGGGTGCTGATGTCACAGGGGACAAGATGTCAATGTCCTCCTGGCTCCCCTTCTTTATTCTGGTCCCAGAGTGACCGTTGGTGCTGGGGGAGGGGCGCTGATGTCACAGGGGACAAAATGGCAATGTCCTCCCGGCTCCCCTTCTTTATTCTGGCCCCAGAGTGGCCGTTGGTGCTGGGGGAGGGGCGCTGATGTCACAGGGGACAAGATGGCAATTCTACACTGGAATGTTCTGGTTTGAATCAGTGAAATTTGGTAAATCAACAATTACATAAACTCCAATGGGTCTACTTGAGCTGGGACTTTAAGTGGAATTTAGAATGTTGCTTCCTGGGGGGGAAAAGCAAGAAAAATTATGGTTAATGGGATGCAATTCACTGACTGTTATAAGTAGTTAATAGCATTTAGGAATTGAGGGAGCTGAAGTCCAAAACACCTGGAGGACCAAAGGATGCGGAACACTGCCATAAAAGACCAGTAGTTTATATGCTTGAGATATTGTGTGTGTGTGTTCAAGCTGCCATGCTTGTACACAGATAAGTATGGCAACCTAATTGGTTGTACAGTATCATTCAGACTTGATGTCTCGCTCAATTTAACCTTTACTGTAGAAACACAGGCAGCAAGGAAGAGAATTGGAAGGTTTTTTGTATAGCTAAACACCTGTTTCTAAACACACAAAGTTCTCCTTATGCATTTAGTACCTTCTTGACTTCTTTTTCTGTGAAAGACTTCAGTCCCAGTGCTGCCAAAGTCTAAAACTTCTATTCACAGAAATGTTGCCATCTGATTTCCTAGGTCAATCTTCCTTCATTAGTTTCTTATGTGAAACTGTCAACAATGTCTTTTTGTTCCTTCTCCTGCCCACAAACCCTTCTCTATATGGGTCAGGTAGCCTGAGGGCCTATTTTGTAAACTGGGAAGGGAATGGTATTACTAAGCTGATAGTAAAACATTCCAAGACTCCTACAATCAAAAGGAACTTGCAACTTGATTGTGCTAGCAATGGTTTACGCAAGTCTTGCACATGCACAAATGATCCCTGAGAGATAGGCAGAACTACTCAATGTGGGTGTTTTTCACACATTCATTCATTCGTCAGGTGAACACCCGCTTTAGTTGGTAAGCTGACTGCACTCTCCAGAAGTCAATATGCATTTTAAATCAGTTGTAATGTCACAATGCTTTCTGTTTAAGATAATCTGTTTTGTGGAGAGACTCTGTTTGTTCTCAACATGCACTAAATATGCAATACCTAGCACCCTGTAGCTGCTTAAGGTTTATAGCAATGGGTTTCATAGTTACTTCTCTTTTTCTGTAATTAATTGGAATTGTACATAGTATGAACAAACGTGGAAAAAGTTATATTAAATGTATCCTAGCTTACAAAAAATTAGGCCAGCACAAATATTTATTTATTTATTTATGACATTAGGGGACACAGTATTACTAATGTTCTTGCAATATTTCAATACTGAAACACAGGGTGTGTTGAAATCTGTGCATGGCATTGCGTCTTCATTGCAAAATTAGTGCAAACATAGAATTGCTACAGTATAGTAGAATTCAGGACTGAACATGCCACCCATGTCTAAAGTTCTAATGTTGTTCCACCTTGCTAATTAGGGATATCTCCTTGTACAAGTTGCATAATCAAAGTAAGAACAGGAATACTCGTCAGATGACATTTGAAATGTTTTTCACATAGAGCAAAATCTAACAGTGCATTTTCTTCTAGTCATTGGGCTGTTATCATGTAGTAATAGGCAAGCAGGCTCAAGAACCAGTTTCTTTTCCCTTTGTCCCATTTCCTCTGTATTTTTGACAGGTTTTTTTCACTGCGTGACCCCAACAGCATGTGTTAGCCTAACCATGTTCCCCCAGCGATTACCAGAAATATAGCCAGTGGCAAGAAATATTGGAAGCTGCAGTCCAACAAATGCTGGAGTGCAGCATTATGCCATGCTGACAGATTAAAATTTGTCAATAGAGAGAATATACACTTGGCACAACATGATTGCAAATGCTCTTTCATAGGACTATTTTGTGGTATCATTTGACATCTGTAGTTTTATTTTTTTAAAAGCTTAACCTGTTAACTGCAAACATATGAGACCATGACTCGGCATTTTATATGTGGTTTTAAGCTGTTTGATACATTGGTGAGTGTTAATTGTTCATATGCTTAGATTATTTTTATCATACATGCAGCATTGATTTTTTTGTCAGATTCGTAAGCCGCCTTGAGTCCCCTCTCAGGTCGAAAAAGGCAGGGTAGAAATTAAATGAATAAATAAATAAATAATACAAGATGAAAATAAAATCTTTACTTGAAAGCAATTGGCAGAAAGACAAAAGATACCAGACGATGCACTTTCTGCAAGCAACTGGTCAGTGAAGAAAGTGTGAACTCACACTCAAGTTACTTTCTCCCTTGGAAAGGAATATATATAATGCCTTGGAGTAAAAAATGAGAACCAAGCTAGGAAGAAATCAAGTTTAACTAGTTCTACTAGGAACGCTTTCAAGCTGCATTCTGCATTCATAATTACAGTAAATTCAGGCTTTTATGTCTTTGTACATACAATTATTAAAGTGTTATATATTTCCTTTGCTATAACAACATTTCTTCATTCCAATGTTGACTGAACAATTCTTATGTCTTTACATTTACTTATTTATTGCTTGTTGCTTTTATAAATGTCTTATGTTCAATAAATAATAAAACATATACAGTAATGTTACTTATTCATTCAGTACACACTGTTCTATGGTGTACAAAGAACACCGAGTTTCTTTTTTATTGTTTCACAATAATATACATCTAGATTAGGCACAGAAGGAAAAAAGGTAAATCTGGATGATTTGCTGCAGATCAGAAAGTGTTTCTTGTCCCCAGTACCGCAGCTGTGACAAGTAAAAACAAGAATTCCCTGTTATAGCTGGCCTTGTATCATACATTCATTTTGTTCTCAGCGTAGGATGGGACATTTTAGCCTCCCAGAATATTTTGTTCCAGAATCCACACAAGAACTTAAGCTAATATGTAGACATTCTGCGGTACTAAAAGCAATATCCCCAAATTTCACACCTTTTGGATTCACAAGCTTGGGATTAGAAATGTTTACCAGAATCGGCTGGGACAAAAAGGTTCCAACAAATATATTGGCTTTGGGAAGTGAGATTGTTTTTTGTCCTATTCATTATACGGTATTGGAACTGTTTTTTCAAGCTAGGATGCAGTGAAGTAAAAATGATGTGCTCAGTTTATCAATTGGTTCAGGAAATTTGGATTTCTTTCTTACACAAGATCTTTGAATTCTTTTTAAAATGTTAAGTCCTATCACAAGTACTAGCCCTCATTCTAATCCTCAAAGCACTGGCATTTTTATTTGAGAATATTTTATAAGTCACATAATGCAACTTTTTTTAAAAAAAAATCCTGTGCCTGCAGGTTATCATCATCATGGCATTGCCAGTACACATGATCTGCAACACACATTCATACAGACTGAACAAGTTATCACTCCCTGCCACCTATCCAGCTCTTTCTTATACAGAGAGCGGGTTGGGACCATGAGGACATAACTGTCCTGCAGAAATAAATATTTTAAGTTGAAAGGACGAACCTAGCCATATTTCTTGTTGATTCGTATGCAGAACAAGGTCTCAACAAATCGAAAGGCAGGTTTAAACAAAACATCAGGTATTATTAACTCCCCTCCTTCAGCAGTCTTCACAGTAGTTGTATATTAGTGTCCATGTGTGGCAAGGAGAGGGGAAGCTCTTGTGGAGGTGGATTTTCCTAGCAACTGCATAGGTTTGGCCCAATTTGTTACTGTATGGAAATCAGAGACTTTACAGTTTAATAGAAGATCTGATCTTGACAGAGATGGAAAAAGGTAAGGACTACTGGCTGCTTACGATTTTATACTTCAAGGTCATAGGTATGGGGACTCTGTCACGATGAGCAACTGCACCACAAAAACCATGTTAGTACAGGTCAGCAGAAGCCTTCATGCTAAAGGCTGGAATGAAAAAAGGATGGGCCTTGTTGTGTTTCTTCAAGTCATTTCTGACCTAAGGCAAACCAAAGGCCAACCTATCACAGACTTTGTAATAATTACTCTCATTTGATAATGAGAACCTGACTCAACATGCTTCCTCTACTGAAATTTTGAAATGTGTGCTCAAGATTCCCAAGAGTGCCCTGCCTTGTTAAATATATGTAAGAATTTTGTTTCACCAGACAGGCACTCAGAAAGGAAAGTGTTACTGTCCAATAACTTCCAATATCTGGCACCAAATGAGAAGAATACTGTACATCATTTGTTTTCCCCCTTATATTAATTTTACACGTCAACAATATCACAAAACAGTAACAAATCACAATTTACAATTCGGAGCTATCGTATTCCATCCCCCCCCCCCAAGTCACATATGTTTGCAGACTACTTCACTGTCACTCCTCTCTAGTAAGTTACTCTATTATCGAATAAAGTACATAATAATGCATCTTACAGACACAGGTTGAACATCCCTTTATCTGGAATCCTGGGGGAACAAGTTGTTCACAGGGGAGGCTGAGGGAGCAGGACCTTTGTTTTCTGATGATTCAGGGTACAGAAACATTTTATGACCAACATGATTAAAAATATCGTCCCTGGGTTGTGTATGTGTGTATACAAAACATAAATTAATTTCGTGTTGGTGATTGGGTCCCATCTCCAAGACGCCTCAATGTATTTGCAAACACAAGTATTCCAAAATCTGGGGGGATCCAAAACACTTCAGGTCTCAAACATTTTGGATCACATCTACACAGTATTATATGATCATTGCATACTAGGCCTGGGCGGTTTCGTTCGTTAATTTTGTAATTCGTTAAATATTCGTTATTTTTAGCAATAACGAAACGATTACAAAACACATTTTCAAACCCGGAAGGGTTTTAAAATAACGATCCGGCAACCCCCATAGTTTTAACGAGCTTCCGCCCGTTTCGTAAATGGGATGGAGGCTGCTGGTGCCCTGGGAGCCAATCCGGCGCTCCCAAGCACCCAAGCAGTTCACCGTGGCTGT